CCAAGAGCTGCAGGAACGCAGGTGCACTTCACCACCATACTCCCCTACAACTACTTGAGCCCACTGTGAGTAACACTCCCAACCACTGCTAAGGGAAGGTTACCCAGAAGCAACATACACCACAGATGTTCTTCAGTCAGCCTACGTTTGCTTTTTCAGCTTACTCCTTACTCATTTCTCTAGCAAAGCCTGTTGGTTTTGCATACTTAATCACAAATTCAGCTAAAAATAGAAGAAAAGGGTTGTTTGGTTGGGGGTGGTTATGCTTTTGGGGTTGTTTTTTTTCCTGTTTTTTGTGTGCTGGGGTATTTTCTACAGAAGGTTCTTATGACAGCTAATGATTTCCACCTTCAGAGCAGTGTAACAGACTTTAGCTACTGGCCAAATTCCAGCCAGAGCGATTATGCTCTGCCTACTAGGATGTCCAGTTAAACCTGTTCCAACTATTTTATTTCCTTCCAGCCCTAAAACATTCCACACTATCACTATGGCTGCTGTGTTTCGCCTCCAGCTTGTGTTTCAGGGCAACATTCCCCGACCCAAAAGCTTCCCGTGAGCTTGCTCGGTTCTCTGGTACACAACTCCCCCACGTACCTGCGTTGACTGGATCACCGTTAGGTCATTGATGTAGCAGAAACCAGCTCCCATGGCAGAGCGGAGCCCGGCAGTCCCAAAGGTCAACCTGCAGCAGAGACGATCCCGTAACTCCTTGTGCTTCCCGTTCTGTAACAAGTTCTCGATCTGCTCTTTTGTTTTTTGGTTCTGCAAAAGAAGATTCAAGGTCTTCGTTTAGTACTTGAAATCAGGACTGAAACTATACGCATTTTGTTTTTAATGAATTCTTAGACAAGTCCTTCCTACCCTATAAAAATCTCCATCTACATGAACTAGCTGACATTGTAATTCACATTTCCATCAGATTTTTTCCTGTTTCATCCTTATTTACGAAGCATGCAGCCATCGATGTGACAATGTTCAGTTACCCACACACCTTCCAGCTACATCAAGCCCCTAAGTGAGGCACACAGACTTTAGAGCATGTTTTTCCAAGGCAGGTAGCACCAGTTAACTCGCAATCCATGCTGCTGGAAGGCAGACAGAAATCTTAATTTCAAAGCCCTGTTTCCTTCCTCCCCACCTGCGGGAAAGGTCTGCAAACAAGCCCAGCAGAATAAAGCTGACACTGTAAAATAAAGCTTGTCTTCCACAATAGAGCTTCTCTTCTCAATTACATTAACACTCAGCGAGGTGGGCAGGAGAGAGTCAAAGCCTTCATTTGTCACAAATTCTTACAGAAGTTGTGCATTTGTCCTGCCAGAAAAGCCCAGTCATATTCAGTGGGGCTGAGGAAGGATGAGTGCTGCTCCACCAGAAGGTAAACGCCCCATGCATCGCTGTAACAGCGACTTTTGTTACTCCACAAATTTCATTTTTCAAGTACATTTAGGAAGGTCTGGATTTTTCCAGTTAAATACACAGAGTTAAAGCAACTCCAAAACTTCTACAATTACTGAAAAACTCAGAAAAAAAAACACATCTAACACACAGTACATGATACAGCCACTATGCAGGGAACTCACTGGGTTTAAGAGCTGGCATCTTTCTGAAGAAAAACCAATTTAACTCCCCAAAGCAGCAGTCCTATCAGTGAAAAGTAACCTTTTTTCAATCTTAGAGAACAGGGAGATTTATTTCTTATGGCAGGAGTTCTTGACCTGCAAAGAGTGCTTCTTGTACCAACAAAAGGGATATAAACACCACCCAAGTCAGGACTGGACACCAGGAAAGTCGTCATCCCGTGCCTTCAGCATCTAAAACCCAAGACTAACAGGGACGGGCACCTGAGAAGGAAAGAGGTTGGCCGAATAAACCAGTAGGAAGCAATTCTGATCTGACACCTACTCATTGTTCAACATTTATTGCCTTTACGAAGAATGACAGCTTTTGTTCCCTTCATGTATAAAGAGAACATTTACTACCGCTCAGAGTCCAGCTGAGGGAGCGATCAGATATTTCTCCAAAAGGCTGCCTTCAAATATTTACCTTCAGGCCCGCACGGAAGGGAAAGCTACCCTACAACCCTACAAACGCTTTGAAGTCAGCCACGTGCAGCACCCAGCACATCACAGGGCAGGGCAGGATACAACCTGCTCCTTGTTGAGATCTCCCCCTGTCCCTACAGATCTGTTCTACATTATCACAGCTACCAACTCCCAAGGGTACAAAGTGCACGCACACAAACTCCTTTTTTTTTTTTTTTGTGGTTAACCTGCACCCTCAGCTAACACCGAGGCTAGGGGGACAAGGAGGGAAACTTTAATATTAATTATTTATGATCATGAGAATTAAACAGTCACAGTAACACGAATCCCAGTGCCCTGGGCATGTGTAGGGAGAGGAGAAAGTCCTCTGGGATGAAGAGAACAAGGAGAGAAGAGCAGTGGTGCCAGTCCTTTTACTGGATGTACCTGCTGGTGCATCCTTTTAGACGTTGATTCCTGGTGGAAGCAGCTCATCCATCGGCTGCTGTCTTGATAAATAAGCACGAGCATTTTATAACATAGGATTTTGAGGGCTCTGTGAATTCCTTTGGTCATCAAGAACCTCAGTCCTGTCTCCTGGCACCCAGTTTGGCCAGGACATAATCCCTGTAAGCACATTGCAACCTGGGGCAGGCTTGCTGAGGACACAGCCCGGGCAGAGCCATCAGTGCAGAGCATAAAACAACAGCTCCTGTGACAATCATAGCACAGGGCAGCTCCGGCTGCACAAAACCTTCTCCAAAACCTCGAGCCGAGCCCCACACAAGGGTTAAAGAAGGCAAACGGAATCTGGAAGGCGAGGGTGAGACACCCCTGACATTTAAAACAGAGGTCAGCCAGCAACAGCTCCCACCCTGCCTCCGCGGCGCTGGGGAACTTGCTCTGCACGGAGAAAAGATCCTCGGGAGGGTTTGGAAGCGCTGGGAAAAGCCTGCTGGAATCACCCACACCGCCTCCTCCAGGGAAGAAAAGCTTCTGTAAAGCTGGTACAAAAACACCAAACTATTTCCACTGCTCAACTTGAATCCTAGCAAAATGAGAGACGTGAGCTTGAATTAGATTTTTAAGGTTTTTGTGCCTTAAAATAAAAGGCAAGCCACTGCTGTCAGGGCTCTCGGAGGGCTCCGCAACCAGAGCGAGCCGTTACTCACAGCACTGCTAAGTCAGGCCCCAAAATAAACCAAAAAACAATGGGGCACAACTATGAGGTCCCCAAAATGAAAGCCTCTTTTTGCTGCTCGGAGGCAGGCAGCCAGAAAACAAATGACTAACGCGGAAAGAGTTTGAGGCAAAAGGGGCTGAAAGCCTCATTTCACACCACCAGAACTCAACACACGGTTCTGCCTTAAAATAAGGTTATTGAGCATCCTTGGTAGCTTTTTTAGGATACACCCTATTGCTCACCTGCAGGAGGAGAACAACACCACACCACCCGTTTCGCGGCCCTGAGTTCTGCGAGGCTGGGGCAAGGCTTTCCTGAAGCCACACCACCACTGTTACAAATAGATTAACTGCTTTTTTCCTGCCTTATCGATTCCCTGGGGAACAAAACCGAGTCAGCCAAAATAGCATCCCAACACCGGGGAGCTAAAATTTCCTACAAACGGAAAAGAAAAGAAGGGGGAGGAAAAGCTACGAGCTAAAGAAAAAAAAATAATCCTAAAGCTGGACCTGAAACTGCTTAGAAAAAGTTTTCCCGAGCTTTGGAGGCCAAGCAGGGCAGCAGCACCGCGTTGGCACCCGGTTCAATGAGCTCAGAAACACAAACTCAGCCCCTGAAGTGCCCCCTCTTAACTGCTGCCTGGATCGGTGTCGGTGAGCTCCGTCAGTCCCAGCGCAGAGCCCTGGAGAAATTCCTTCACAATTAGCAAGTGCTGCACTAGGATTTTCCTAAACATCCTTTAAAAACAACAAACCAAATCCCACAACACCACCACCAGGCTGCTGGAAGCCTTTGAAGCACGAATCAGCTACGCTGTTTCACACAAGCCAAAAAAGCCTTGAATTCATCTCCAAAACCTCCACAGCTTTTTGGACACGCCAGGAGCACAGGGCAGGTGCTCAGGACCCCGCAGCACCAGATAAGGTGGCACAAGGAGGCTGCAGATAAGGGGAGAGCAGCCGGGAGGGCCCTGCAGGGAAGAGGCTGAAAATGCACCAAAAAAGGGTCAGGGAAGGCAAGAGGAGCCTCAGGCTGGTGACAGGGCTACAGCTGGGTTGCTGAGCGTGGCTCCTACCCTTTTTGGTGTCTTTTTTTCCTCCCCTTTTCCCCGTTTTGTCCTTCCAGCCCTGTATTTCTCAGCTGCCCTGCCACAGAGGGGTGGAGAGGACAGGCAGGAGAAACAGCACCAGCTCCCAGCCCATCCTGGTGCCAGTTTGAAGGGCTCCCTCCTCCCCAAACACAGCTTCTCCCTGCTGAGTGCCACCTCCCTGCTGCTCCTGCCCTCAGCCACAGCAGCCAAAACCGCGGCGTGAGCGCCCTCAGATGCGCTAAGCCCCCACCAAGATGTAAATTTGTGAAGAGCTCTCAATCAGTAAGCGGCTCAGAGCCTTGCAATTTGATACGTGGGAAATAAAGAGCCACCAGAGCCAGGCACTGTTTTCTTATCCCATCTCAAGCAGACTACCAAGGAAGCCCGGGGAATTATCTCGTTCTCACAGGTTTTGCGTTAGCAGCAGGTGAAACTGAAGAGAAGGGGGCTGTCAGGAGCTCGGTCAGAATTTCAAACCCAAATATTTCACATAACCTCCACTCTGAGTCCCGCAGAGCCAAGTGGCTGCAGTGGATTTTAAGAGGGAAGGAGATGATCCTGTTAGAGACATGAGGTACAGCTTCAACAGCTTCCCAAAAACATTTTCTGCCTGAATCTGATGTACGACAGAACTTTGGGGTCAAACCCCACAACAGTCAATGCTCTGCAACGTCACATTTAAGAAAGGCTGGGAGTTTTACTAAAATAAGCATATTTTCTGCAGAACTCAACGTTATGCTCCTTTATTTTCAGTTCTGTATGGCACAACTGCCTACTGAAAGGGAATGGGACCCTCGTGGTGTAGCTCAGTGGGACACAAGCTGAAACAACTGCAGAATTAAGGTGCGAGGGCACGGAGTATTTCTCACTGATCGTTTCGCTCCCCATCACGTAAATAATGTTTGCTGCCAGGGTTAGATCTCAAGGCGAAGGTCCTGCCAGCAGAGCTGCAGTTCACAGCTCTCCCTCCGAGCAGTCTTGGTGTTGCAGGCACTCTTTGCCTGGAAACAGGGATAAAAAAAAAGAGAGAAGTCAGATTTGCTTCGCATTCAGAAAGCTGACAGCCACAAACGAAGCGCACCAAGCTCTGCCTGCCAGTCTCTGGTTTTCCATCAAGTTTAAGCTTTTTTTAAACAAAATCAGGGTCAGTCCCTTAGACCCAAACCCAGCAGAGTACATCTTTGTAGGATCTCCTGCCCAGCAGATGCTGCACTGCCTGTGGCATAGCTGATCACCGTGCAGCCATAACTGAAGGCCAGCAGTGGCACCTGCAGCAAGTTTTCATTTACAATTTCCCTTCAAAATTTGAGGCTCTCATTTTTTCCTCCTTCAGCAAGAAATGTTTGTTTTCTAGCCAGCCATTTTGACAAAAAATCAAAAATCAGGTGACTGTAGAGAGGCTGATGCTCAGGGTAGCCTGTGCCAGCACAGTGGGGTACACTCACACCCCCCTTCTGAATCCTAAATCCTGCTACCAAAAGCAAAGAGGCCCCAAGGAAGGGAGCAGCACGTCCGAGGTGCTCCTTGGTTTGGTGATGGGACTCAGGCCAGGCTGATTTTGTGACTGATGACCTTGAAGCTTTTTTTCCCCCCAGGGTAAATGATTCCGTGAGCTCAGACAAGTGCTACCCAGCACAAACAGTGCTGGAGGGGGGTACCAGGCCACAGACAGCTTGAGAACCTTAAAAACCCTTCAGATAATAAAATTCAACCACCCATCGAACACAAGCCCGCTGCTAAACCACGTCCCTGAGCCCACAAAGCCTTCCCACCCTCGAGCACATCAACGCTCCCACCCAGCTCGGTGCCATCTGTGAGCCCACTGAGGGCACGTTCGATCCCCTCGTCGATGCCATTGACAAAAATCCTAAATAAAACAGGCCCCAGAAGCGAGCCCTGGGGAACACCACGGGGTGAGAGGCTGCGGAGCGGATCGAAGGCCATCCACGGCCACCCAGCCAGGATTTTCCCTCCTGAATTTCACAAGCCACAAGTCCTGCAGGTCACACCGAGCCATCCCCAGCATGTCAGCAGAGGCAGGGTCACCTTCTGGGCATGCCTTTAATTTAATTTAATTGTGAATTAAATTCAAACCCACCAACCTCAGCAACAAGCAGCAGGGCAAAGCTAAAAAGGGGGCAGGGAACAGGGTCTGCTGTTGTCCTTCTCTTTTAGAGGCAGGCAGCCCCAGGAGCCAGCTGCACAGCCCAGCAGGGAAGCCACCTCTTGTGTGCTGGCCCAAAATAAAACCAAAAATACTTACAGAAATGCTCCTTTACACATCTTTCCTGCGAGTCTGAACATATTAGAACAGTTCAGTTGGAAGGGGCCTGCAAAGATCAAGTCCATCTGCCTGACTTCAGGGCATGTTACGAAGGGCACGATCCAAACAAAAATTTCCGTGCACAATATAACCCACTGCTGCTGAAGGGGAGTTCTCACCTTCATCCCAAAGCGCCCCAATTAATGTGCTGGCACAAAACCCACCTAACCCAGAATCAGCTGTTCCCATAGCTCGCAATATCCTACAGGTTTTAATGTTTGAGCTTGCAATGAATGCAAGTTATTTTTGGAGAGCTTCTCTTTTCATCCATGGCCACCTCCTAGGCTTTATTCTCTGCAATTTTATTCTTGGAAATTTGCAGTAAAGGCTCTGTAAAAAATAAAACCGGTGAGTAGAATGACAGGAGCAGGTCACTGGTCTGTAATTACCTCCTAAAACATCTCAAAAGCTGCAAAAATTAAGTGGCAGCAGACAGGAGCACTCCAAAAAAGCCCCTGAAAGCTTCCTCTGCCGTGCACGACTGAGCACACCTCATTTCTGTCCTCTCTGTGTCGTATCCTGGCCACTTTAAAGCCTCCTGAGATAAGGGAATTACTACAGACAAGGTCCAATTTCCCGAACTGCTCTAAACAAAAGCGGTTTTCTTGGAGACAACTGCTCTGACAGCTTTCTATACAACGCAGATGCCTTTAGGAGACTCGAGACAGTTATGGAAAGACAATAAAGTCGGAGAGTGAATGAAGAGCGATTAAAGGGAGAAAATAGAAAACAAAGACTAATTGTTCAGCCTTCACTCGTAAGCTGTGGGAACAAAAGCATGTGCCTGGTATCTTGGAGCAGAACGTAAAGGCAGCAATCAAGGGGAGAGCAGGGAGATTTAGTTAGTGAGGCTCCTCTGAGCCAGTCGCCAGCAGCATTAAGGAAGATGCCCAGCAGTGGTGAGACAGGAGAAAAGCAAAATGATCGTCACGCAGGCAGTTTTCTTCCACCCACAGCCCAGCCTTAATCACAGCTCGTTTTAGAGGAGGTGAGCGCGTACACCCAAACCAAAGGGGACGACAGCGAGGCACGGCTCGAATTAATTACAGCGAGGAAATTTCAATCAAGCTCGAGGACAAAAGCTCCCCACAGCTAAATACAGCGAGGGGAGGGAAAAAATAGCAGAGGCGTTTTGCTTTGATCGGAGGCAGCGAAAGTCCCCAGGGCTAAGGAAGCCGGGGGTGAGACAGAGACCTTGTTTGATAACAAGGTTTGTTGGCTGATAACAGCCAGCCTCTGGAGACCTCGTCTCCTGGGTCTTCGATGCGACGAGGAGCTTCTCCTTGCAGCTTTCTCTTCTCCTTGCAGCTTTCCCTCCGTCCCCTCCTTTGTTTACATCGGGTGCTGCTGCACTGCCCGTGCCCAGCCTCCTCCTGCTGCTGCTGCAGCCCTCCTCCAGCTGCTTTGGAGCCCCAAAATTCACAGGGCTCCTTCAAAACCTCTCTAATTATCAAGTTCAAGAGGAAGCGTCACGATTGTCACCTAGAGAAGCTGGGGGTGAACAGGTGCCTCTTTGGCTGCTATTTGCCTGGCTGATTTGGGTTTGTAGAAATATTATTATTTCAGTAGTGCTGGGCTTAATCAGCACTATTTTTTCCCCTGGTAGCTTAAGGTTTAAAAGGCGGAAACCCTCCTAGATCACACCCGTTTGGGATCAGCACACACTGAGCTGTTCGAGAGCCTTTTAGCAGGGTAACCAAAGGAAAGTCAGGGATCCAAAACCGCTCAGGTGCTGGAGTTCGGCCTGGCTTACCAGGTGTGGCACCACGGATGTTGTCACCTACCTGCACTCCTCGCTGCTCCCAGGCACTTCCACGGGCATTTGGTGAGAGTTAGCCTGACAAAAAAGGAGGCAAATGGCCCCAAAATATCCCCCCTAGCACACAGCTGGCTGGGGCAGGACCACAAGGAAGCCACCAGCAGCGAGGTGCTGCAGCCTGTGGGGGTGTTTGGGTCCCTCCCCACCCCCAGGCGATGTTTTTCAGCCCAGCCCGTGACGTTTTGGTAAAGAAGCAAAAAAAATAATAAGCTTTCGGCAGCGGTTTGGGGAAAATAACCCAAAAAATAGCATTATTAGCGAGACGATCCCTCAGGGGAACTAGCACTGCGCTAACACAGCCTGCAGCCCACCGGGTGGGCTCTCAGCCCCCCGTAACCCCCGAGGGGGGTTAGAACGAGGCCATTTTGGGAGAAATAAAGGCGAAAACGGTCAAAACGCCGGTTCCTGGGGCACCTCACACCGCCGGGCCGGGGGTGCCTCAGTTTGGGTAGGGGGTGCAGGGGGGCTGCCAGCATCGTGCCCCCGGCCCTCAGTGACCCTCAGCAGCCCTCAGGGGCCCCATCCCGGTCCCGGTCCCCGCACCTTGTCCCAGCTCAGCCACTGCCACACCGCCCGGTCCAGCTGCGCGTCCCGGTGCTGCGGGCGGCCGTCAGGGGCACGTTGGAGTTCACGTCGCCCATCTCGGGTGAAGAAGGGGAAGGAGAAGGAGGAGAAAGAGGCAGCGGCTTCACTCCGCGGCACCGGGCATCGCCGGGAGGGCTCCGCAGGGACCCGAGGGGCCGCAGCCGCCGCCCGCTCCCCTCAGCGCCGCCCGCCCCGCTGCTTCTCCACAGCGAGGCCCCGCCCCCGCGCCGCCCCGCCCGCCAATCAGAGCCCGGGATTGCCGCTGGAGGGGCGGGGAAATGCGGTCCCGCCCGCCAGCTTCCTGTCGGGAAGTGTAGTCCGGTCCGGGCAAGACGCGCAGCAAAGTGGATTGGTTGTTGTTAGGGAAAGAACTACAAGTCCCAGAAGGCCTCGCGGCTCGCCGCCTTGTGCCTCAGGGGGGCAGCGGGCCCGCTGAGGGGAGCCGTCACACAGGCGCTGGGGCCTCGGGGGCTGAGGAGGCTCCTTGGGTGTTCCATGTTTGCACTTATATAAAAATAAATAATAAATAAATAAATAAATAATAAATTTCACTTACAAATAAAGTAAATAAATGTATATGTGTGTGTGTTTGTATTTAGGATATCCCGTGCCGCCCCACTGAAGGGGCGCGCTAATCCGTCAGGGTGATGCGTGCGAGCAAAAACCTAAAAAACTAAAAAAATCTCCTTAATTGTGCCCCTGTCAGCCCCAAGCCAGCCTCCAAGCTTCTCGCTTTTCTCCCTCTGGAAGGAAAATGGCATCAGCCCGCCCTTGGGCAATGAGCCCCTGGTTTTGGGGAGTTCCCAGACAGGCTCCAGCAGCAGTTAAATTGATGTGAGGGGGGAAATAACAACCCTCACCCCCATCCCAGTCAGCCCCAGTCCTAACTGGGTTGTCCCCCTGTGTGCTCAGCCCTGCTGCCATCCCCAGCAGCTCTGCTGAGGTTGCCATAGCGATCGCAGGCCCTGAGGCGAGGCTTTGGGGTCCGCAGGGCGATGGGACCGAGGTTTTTGGGGTCTGTAAGGGAATGGGGACACAAACAAATCCTCTGGTCCAGAGGGCTGGCTTGGTACGGGGAGGTGAACCTATAAACTGTTGCACGGGGCTGGTGGTAGGCAGCAGAAGAGGTAAAGACAGAAATAAATCGGCCTGTTATCACTGAAGGGCTGTCCTACGGTTGTAGAAGGAGAAGAAGATGAGTCGACACGAGGCACAGCTTCTGCTCTTCATATCCTTGCTGCTCTTTTCTGCTCCTTCAGTGTTGTATTTTCAAGGAAAGGCCCAGCACAACAGAAGCTCCAGTCTATAAAAACTTCATTTTCCCCCAAAAAAGGACAATGCCTATGTTAAATGCCTCTCTAATGCCTGCCGAGCAGGAACGTTTCTTACAAGAACTCTGTAGCTCTTTGGAAAGGCAGTAAGAGAGACTCTTAAAATTAAACTTCATATTTCAAATGCTTCCATTCGTGGCTACATTTTTTTTTCCTTATGCTCTTAATGAGAGCTTTAAATTATTCTGAAGAGTAGTCTTCTGCCAGCAGAGCAAGCAGGCTGTTTCTTTCTATGGCACCCTGAATCTCATAAAATATTTTCACACGAGACAGGGGCAGCTGTGCCCGCACCCCACGTTACCAGTGCTCAGCTTCCCGGCCACAATTAAAAGCAGGATTTGACCTTCATCGCTGTTGCTTAAATAGGATCAGTCCTTCAGCTATTGGGGATCCTCTGTGATTATTTCCCTGAAGAAAGATAAGGCAGCCTCATAGAAGATAAGGATCTGTGTGCGTGTTATTTCTTTCTTGGAAATAACCACAGCGTGGAGGGGCTGAAACTTCTCTGCGGGGTATCCTGTGCTGGGAGATGCCAGCGCCACAGGGATCGTGGCTCAGCTGGAGGGAATGACTTCGTCCTAGCCAAAATGAATATTTACATGTGCATATGTGTGGCTGTGTGTGTGTGTTTTAAGGGAAAAAAACTGCTGCTCCCTGTGCTGCTCTGACACCCAGAGTGCCCCCACGTAGCATAACCGCAGCCCGTACCCCCAAAACGAGAGTCCTCTTTTAACGTAGACGAAATAATGCATGATAAAAATGACTTGCTGATAGCACACAGCTCCTGTTTGGGGTTTAAATTTACGCACTGCAGGGGTAAAGGTGGTTAAATGCACCCGTTAGGGCTGGGCTCGCAGCATCTCAGTAGCGTTCCCCCGACCAATGCTGCGCACATTTCGCTCCTACCAACGCGCTCCGTGCTTTTTCGGCAGAAGAATGGCCAAGCACACGCTGATGTCACTGCAAAGCAGAAATAAAAACCGTCTGTACGGTCGTGTGAGCATCCTCAGTGACCTGGCAAAATCCTCACCCGCAACAACCCGGATTAGCTCTGTTGCTTACACAGAGCTGCCCAGCCCCGCGCCGGAGAGCCTCGGGGCTGAACCCAGAAGGTGCAGTGTTTCCATGGCAATTTTGCCGCACGTAATTTATTCCAAATAAGCCACCGAAGGGCCCACGGCTCCTTCCAATGATATTCTGGGATTCTGGGCTGTTTTTTTCTGTCCCACTGGTTCCTGCGGTGAGAGGAGTCACGCGGGATGAACCCAGCGCGTCCTTCCAGCTCACTCGGCAGGCACTCCGCATGCCCTTGCTCCGTGGCACGGCTTTTGTTTTATTATTTATGGATCCTGAACAGCCTGTGCCTCTTGGGTTACCTGGTGATCATGCAGCAACTCCCATCCTTTCATTTGCCTCGCTCGGAGCACCGTAACGCCAGGCAGGCAGCGCAACCCTAAACCCGGGCAGCGATAACACCCCTGCCAGTCGATAGGGTGCTTTGTGGGGACGTGCCTCTGTGGGGACGTGCCTCTGCTGGCCCCAAATGCCATTTTTAACCTGATCTGGGGTCCAAGCAGCTGAAGTCTTTGTCCTGAAGAAGCGCAGGCTGGCAGGAGGGAAGGACACAGCAGGAATCACCGAGGCTGGGAAGCAGTCAGCGGCTTGGTGCTTCACGGTGGGAGCCTTGGGGGGGCCTGATTGTGCACCCCACAGCATGGACAACATCCTGTTTGGTTTGCTGAAGGCTTAAATGCCCTAAATAACCCGAAAATAATCAGAGCTGCTGGAAAACCTCTGCTCTCAGCCCAACAGCAGGGCTGGATCCTGGGGTGACAGCCCCTGCCAAAGCCCCCCCTGGGTGTGCCACGTTTTGTACCAGGCAGAAAACCCACGACAGGTCCGGTTCTGCCCACAGCAAACACAAAAAAATTCAGGCTCGTCGCCTCTCCCCACCCTAAGTTGTCGCCCCGATCTGATAAAAGGGCATTTTATAGACTCCGGTGAAGGAGGTGGGAAAGCCGCGGCGAGCGTGGGGGAAATTTGGGCACCTCCTGCTCGCTCAGCTCTCCGCTCTCAGCACCCCAGGGAGGCTGGATTCGGACGCCAGCCCCCTCGTATATCAAAGCCTGTCCTTTCCGAACCAGACCCGGTTATTTTTAATCCTCCCCTCTAGGTATTAATAGCCCACACGCGTGCTCCGCCGAACGGTTCAACCACATCCATCTGTGGAAACGATGTGCCGGGCCCGTCTCCTCCGATGGGAGAGCGTGACAGGATCATATCAAGCTTTTCACCCCAATTTATCCCTTCGATTAATCCCAAACGAGGGCATAAATGGCGTGGAATTGAGAAAATCTGTACAGAAAACTTCCTGTAAGGGGAGAAAACCAGATCCCAGCTGGGATTTCCCAGCTGTCCGTAAGAATAAATGTTGCCTCGAGCTTTATTAAAAAATCTGTGTTTTTTTTTTTTACCCAAGCTGTTTTTTTTTTTACCCCCTGGTGCAGATCCTGCAGGTGCCTATGTGGTAGGAAAGCTGAACTGAGCTGCCCCGTGATCAAACGGTTGGTTTTATGGCCAGGTTTGTGATAAATTCACGGCAGCTTATCACCAGCTCATGCAGATTGTCCTGCCGGGACTCACCCCGGCGCAACCAAATGTTCCTGGGTGGCTTCGCTGGGGGAAAGGGGGGTTTTCCATCGGGGAATTGTAAAAACAAACTCGAAAAATGGATTATTTGGGATGGGTGAGAGCAGGAGCTGCGCCCAGTGCTTGGATTCCCACCTCTACGGATGGACATCCAACACGGATAAAATAAAAAATTCAGGGCCACTGAGGATGTGAAGCAAGCTCAGCTGAATTTTGCTTGTTTTTTGCAGGTGTATGGTTCATTTTCTCCTGAAAATCAGTGATTTTGGGGAAATGGATGATGTGTGACGTGCCCAAGGACGGGGCAGACGGCTGCAGGTGTCGTCTCAAAAATAAATAAATAAATAAAATAAAATAAAATAAAATAAAGTAAAATAAAGTAAGTAAAGTAAAATAAAATAAAATAAAATAAAATAAAATAAAATAAAAATAAAATAAAATAAAATAAAATAAAATAAAATAAAAATAAACAAGCAACCAAACACATTGGCCTTACACGCGCCCTGCGTCTTTCTGGCTGCAAACCCTGATGCGCTCAGCTGCAATTTGCAGTTCGATTTGGTGATTTACCAAAATTTAGTGATTCCCCAAAGCCAGCGCTGCCCCAGCTCTCCTATGTGCCCAGGCGAGCGCACCTCTGTGCTGTTCCACCCCATAAGCATCACCCATAATCACGAGCCCCTAATTAACCCCTAAATCCACCCCCGGCAGCTGAAGCAAACCCATTTGGGGAGGTTTCCAGTGTATTCCCCATGTCCCCGAGCATCCCCCAAGGCAAAGGCCACCAGGTGGCACTGGCACCTTGTCACCCAGCCCGATGGTGGCTTGTGGGGACACCCAGGGCACCCCCTGGCCTTCCTCAGACCCTGATCCTAATATAATTATGGGGACAGGAGGAGGAACCAGCAGAGGGAAATCGGGAGGGTGACAAATTCTGGAGCAGCTTGCTCTTTTAGGAGGGTTTTTCCCCTTGTAGGGTCTTCCCTTCATTGGGAAAGCCACATCCTGGGGGGTTTTGGGGTGCCCCATCCCAGGGACCCCACGGCAGGTGCTGTGGGTTTTAGGGGAAGGTAAACACCGCAGAGGTGGAGAAAACCCAGAGCGCAAATCCACCCGGAGGAGGAGGAGGATCTCATCCCGGCTGTGCCCGCCCGCTCTGCTTCCCCGGAGTTATTTGCAGATAAAGGGTTTTGTTTGCCTTTCCCAACGCCGTAACCACAAGGCAAACACCCGCGGAGCCTCTCGAGCCCCCTCCTGCCTGGTGCCAAAGGACAGCAGTGGCATTCGCTCCAGCTCAAACCCTTCCTGCACCGCGTGCCCAACCCAGGAACGGCAACCGCCCCCAAAACGCAGCCCACCGGGGACCCCAAAAACCCCTGCAGCGGGTTTCATGCCCGGAGCGGGGCTGAAGGCTTGGGAAATCCCAAATTCCTGGGTGCCAAGGTTGCCGGCCCTCCCCAAAACACCATGGTTTGACGGCGCGGGCGCAGGCGCCGCGGCGGTGTTTGAGCACAGGAGGAAGGTGCCCTACAGGCCAGACCAATTAGACAGTAATTAAGCCCTAATAAGCAGATTAAGACGTCCGAGGGGCCGCTCCTGGGCGCCGGGGCTGGGTGGCTGGTGCTGCCCTACACCGTACCCTTGCAGCAGGCTCTTTGGAAGGACGGGGACATTCGCCACCCCATGGGCCATGCCCCAAACCCAGCTGGGGACGCAGGCGAGGAACCCAGGAGGGTCCCAAGCCCGTCCCCTTCCCGTTTGCCCCTTGGAAAACACGTTTGGGAGCCGAGGTACAAAAGGCCAAAGCTACAGCCGGCAGCACCCCGCAGGAAGGAAGCAGGAAAAGCTCCAACATCATCGGTCAGAGCCCGGCCGGACCCTCGGGGGCGCAAATCCCATCACAAAACGATTTTGGCCACGGCGGAGTCCTCGAGGGGCACCACGCTCGGAGAAGAAGCAGACGCGAGCCCTCGGGAACCGGCATCTCCTTTAATTCCCCGCCAGCAAAAGCCCGAAACCGTTTTGCAGTGACAGCTTTCAGCACCGGGAAAACCCACGAGCCCAATTCGCCAAGCTCCTGGCACCCCACGGCACGCTTTGGAGGGCGATGCTGGCCGGTCTGCCTCATTTTTTTCCCAAATTTTCCTCCTTTAAAGGCCGTGCCAAATTCAGCAGGGCATGGGAACGGTGGGAAAGGAGCCACCCCTGTTGTCCCTATATGTCCCCGTGTCCCCATTTGGGATGGCTCCACGGCACCGGGACCTGCCCGCGGGTCGCGCCAGGCGCCAGGAACCCGGTTCCCGACCCATTTTGGGGCTTTTCAAGCTCAGATCATGGAAACCCGGTTCTTGATGTAGACGTGGTAGGGGTCGCTGCGCTTGTCCACCTTGCGGGAACGGGTGTAGCCCAGGATCAAGCTGCCCACGGTGGCGGCGAAAAGGGTCATGACAAAAAGGATGTACATGTAGGCGTTGTCGTCCCGACCCCCGGCACCGCGGGCGCTGGCGTTTCGGGGGGCTGCGGGGCGCAGGAGGGTCCCGTGCAGAGTTTGGTTCAAGGCATCCAGCATCGCTTGGAGGCTCCGGTGCCACGGCTCCGTCCCGTTCTCATCCTCCATCTCCTCGCCCTGTTGGGTGCCGTCAGCCCCCGCGGTGCGGGAGCTTTGGGGTGGACCCAGGGGTGAGCCCCGAAACGGTCCCTGGAGCGCAAGGAGAGGGGGAGGAGGGGTTTTTTGGTGGAGGAGGAAAACCCCAAATCCAGCCCCGTTCCCGTTAGCAGAACCCCGGTGACACCCACGGGAGCTGGGGGCACCCAGCTCGGGTCCCCCCTGTGCCCTCCCAGGGTTTAAAACCGCATTAATTCGGTGCTGCTCCCTTCATCGACCCCAAAAAAATTAGAGGGGGGGTATTTAATGCTTCCCATCAAAGCCACTTGAAGGCAAGTCGGGTTCAGCACCCGCTGCACGTGCACGGATGCCTGTAGGATATCCTCCGACGGACAGACAGACGGACGAGCCCCAGCCAGGCACTTCCCCTACACAAATAGGTCCCGACCCCAAACACCTCCCCGGGGTTGGCGTCACCTTCGTGTCCAAGGGATGTCCTGGAGTCCCCCCCCAGCCCCCACCAGGACCTGCCTGGGGTCCCCCACCCTAAAAAAAACAGCTTTGGGATTGATCCTACTAAATACCCACCCCAATCACCCCAAGCAGCCCTAGCCAGGGGGGCACAGATCCCTGCACGCCCCCATGGACCCATCCCAAAGGGTTTTGCTGCCCCAAACCCCCCGAAATTTCCATCCCCACACACAAACTGGGTCCCGACCCCCTCCAGTGCCCCCAGGACATGGGACCCCTTTTCCAGCCCACCCCACACCCCAGTGCACAGGCAGCTGCCTCCCCCCTAAAAAAAAATAAAAGGATCCCCCAAATGCGAGGAGGAGAGGAAGGAGCTTGGGGGGGGCACCCGTGGACCCCATTGTCATTATAAACACCTGGAAATCAGGGAGAAGCCTGAATTTGGAGAATTTCCAGCCAAAAAATGAAGTTTCTCCCCCACAGAGCCCTACAGCGGGATGCACCCCCGGGGGTCCCTATATAATAGGAGGTGTAGGGGTGGGAATTATGGGGTTGGGGGGGGGGGTTTGGCACTCACCGGGTGCTCTCGGTGCCTGCACGGCCGCCAGGCTGAGCCGGGACTGGAGCATCGCGGCCGGCAGCCGAGCTGGGAGTGCCGCAGCCTCCTCCCCTTCCCGGGGCAGAGCCACCTGCCCCAAAGCCACCCAGCCCCAATAGGGCCACCACCAAGTCGTCCCCAAACCCTCAAGGATCCCGTCGTGGCCCCCCCTGAGCCCGGATGCCGGTTTTATAGGGCCGGGAGAGCCACCCAGCTTTGCGCTTCCCAACCCCGCCACCACGCTGCCGGTCACGCTTTCCTGTCCCTCCTCCGGACAAAAGGAGCAGCAAACGGTCCCATAAAGTTTTTTTTTTTCCTATAAAATCTGCCGATTTCTGTGCACCAGGAGCAAAGACGGGGACTTCAGCCACCCTGGCCTCTCCAGGGGTCAGCACGCATCCACCCCGCTTGTGGGTTTTGGGGGGAGGTCAGCACGCATCCACCCCAAATGTGCATTTTTGGGGAAAAGAGGAAAAAAAAAACCCAAAAGCTGCAATTGGGGTAATTCCCACAGTGCCACCAGTTCCAGTTGAGGCTTGTGGGATCCGTCCCTGACCCCAAGCAGCATTATTGTCACAGCACCTCCAGGAGCCCCGACCACGGGGGGGTCCCAGCATCAGCACACCCCTGGGTGCCCTATAGGGCCGGTGGTGGCACTTTGGCGACCGGGACAGCCCCAAAACCAAACTCCTGTCCCAAAACCAAGCACGGGGCAGCCCCATAGGGGACACAACGTTCACCGCCAAGCCCCCAGCTGGCATCTGGGACCCCCCCGGTGCCTTCCTAGGCTGCGGGTTCATCCGAAAAGACCAAGGAGCAGCCGAAAACCTCCTGGAAGCAGTGGAGGAAGGGTTGTAGGACGTCGGCTACGGGGACGTGGCGGCCCAGCTCGCGGCTCAGCGAGGTCACCCCCCATCCCTTCCAGCCCGCAGGGGACGATGTGCTCGAACCAGCCCAGGTCGGTGCAGCAGTTCAGCGCCAGCCCGTGGGAGGTGATGTAGTGCCCGCAGTGCACCCCTGGGTGTTAAAAAAGGGGGGGGGGGGGGACGGGGATGTGATGGGGGGGGGCACCCGGCAGCTGGCAGCAGCCCCAAGGTACCCCTGGTGCTCCCCCCCGTTCACACCCCCTTGCACCCCATTGCACACCCCTCTTGCACCCCCCTTGCACACCCATTACACTCCCCCTTGCCCCCCCTTGCACACCCCATTGCCCACCCATTGCCCCCCATTCTTCCCCCTTGCACACCCCATTATCCTCCATTCCCCCCTTGCACACCCCATTGCCCCCCTATTACACATCCCATTACACACCCCTTGCCAACCCCTCGCACACCCCCTTGCCCATCCCATTACACAACCCATTGCCCACCCCCTTACCCACCCTATTGCACACCCCTTGCCCATCCCATTACACATCCCATTACACCCCCCTTTCTCCCCCCTTGCACCCCCCATTGCCCCCCATTCCCCACCACCCATTCCCCAACCCATTCCCCCCACCATTCCCCACGCCCATTCCCCACCCTATTACCCACCCCCCTTGCCCACCCCATTGCACCCCCATTCCTCCCCCTTGCACACCCCATTACACATCCTATTACACACCCCTTGCACTCCCCCTTGCACCCCCTTCCCCACCCCATTACCCACCCCCTTCCCCTCCGCTCCCCCCCCCATTTCCCACCCCATTACCCACCCTATTACCCACCCCCCTTGCCCCCCCCATTGCACACCCTCTTGCACACCCATTACACACCCCTTGCACTCCCCCTTGCCCTCCATTCCCCACCCCCTTCCCCACCCCATTCCCCACCCCATCGCCCACCCGATTACACCCCATTTCCCCCCTTGCACACCCCATTACACACCTCTTGCACCCCCTTACCCCACCCCATTTCTCACCCCATTCCCCACCCCCCTTGCACACTCCATTACACCCCCCTTCCCCCCCATTCTCCCTCCCATTCCCCCCAATTCCCCACCCTATTACCCACCCCCTCTTGCACCACCCCATTACACCCCCATTCCCCACCCCCTTCCCCACCCCATTACCCCCATTCCCCCCACTCATTCCCCACCGCATTCCCCACCCCCCTTGCCCACCCCATTACACCCCCATTCCCCCCCCTTGCACACTCCATTACACACCCCATTACACCCCCTTGCACCCCTTACCCACCCCACTGCTCACCCCATTACACCCCCCTTCCCCACCCCATTCCCACCCCATTCCCCACCCCCTTCCGCCCCCATTCCCCCCCCATTGCCCACCCTATTGCACCCCCCTGCACCCCCTTGCACCCCCCTATTACACCCCTCTTCCTCCCCCCTTGCAGCCCCCATTACCCACCCCATTCTCCCCCCCATTCCCCACCCCATTACACCCCCCCTTCCTCCCCCCTTGCACCCCCCATTCCCCACCCATTACCCCCTCATTCCCCCCCATTCCCCACCCCCCTTGCCCACCCCCATTAAACCTCCATTGCCCACCCCATTACACCCCCATTCCCCCCCCTGCACACTCCATTACACACTCCATTACACACCCCTTGCACTCCCCCTTGCACCCCCCTTCCCCCCCATTCCCCCTCCTTCCCCACCCCCCATTGCCCACCTTATTACCACCCCCCTTGCACACCCCATTCCCACCCCATTACCCCCCCAATTCCCCACCCCCCCCACCACCCCCTACCCCCCCATTACCCACCCCCTTCTCCATCCCCTTCCCCCTCCATTCCCACCCCACTGCCCACCCCTTTGCACCCCCCTTGCACACCCCATTACACCCCCATTCCCCCCCTTGCACACTCCATTACACCCCCCTTCCCTCCCCATTCCCCGCCCCATTCCCCCCCCGTTGCACTCCATCCCCCCCCATTCGCCCCCCCATTCCCCCCCCATTCCCCACCCCCTTCCCCACCCCATTACCCCCCAATTCCCCACCCCCCCACCTCATTCCCCACCCACTCCCCCCCCATCCCTCTCCCATCCCCCCCACCACCCCCCACCCCCTTCCCACCCATTCCCCACCCCAATTCCCCCCCCACCCCATTCCCCCCCCCTCCTCACCTATAGCCGCCACCTTCCCGTCCCCCACCCAGACTCCGGTGAGCGGGGGGGGCCTGGATCTCGCTGCGGGCACCCCGAGGCGGCGACAAAGCCTCACCCCCACCTCCTCCAACCCCCCCACGAACCCCCTCAACCCCAATTTCCGAGCCCTCAGATCCAAACCACCAAAGCCAGCAGCTGCCCGGGCCCGTGATATGTAACGTGCCCCCCCCGCCTCCACCGCCTCCAACCCCGCTCCTTTCTCCCTTAATTTAGCCGCCAGCTCCCCCCCGGGGCTCCCCTCAGCCCCCAGGCGTACACGGGCCCGGCCGGTTCGCTCAGCACCAAGCTCTCGGCCGGCCAAAGCTGGGGGGGGCTATGGGGCGGTTTTGGGGGGGGCCGCAGCCTTTAGGGCCGCCGCCCGGGCCGCCCCCACGCAGCGCTCCTGGACCCGCAGAGCCAAGGAGTAGGGCACGGGGCCCGCAGCAGCACCCGCACGGCGCCCCCGGCATGGCGAGGGGGTGGGTTTGGGGTTTTAGGGGGGTTTTAGGGGTTTTGGGGGGTTTGGGGTGGGTTTGGGGTGTGGAGGCCGCGGTAGGCCGCGCGGGGAGGAGCTGAGCGCGGCGGGGAGGGGAATGGGGAGGGGCGGGGAATGGGGATGGGGCGTGGGGTTAAGGGGTGGGAATAGGGACAGGGGAGGGACAGGGGGACAAGGGAGGGATATGGGGTAGGGAATGGATGTGGGGACAGGGGACGGGGGACAAGGGATAAGGAAGGGACAGGAATAGGGACGGGAAACAGACATGGGCAAGGGACGGACATGGGGACAAGGGCAGACATGGGGACAGGGGAGGGACATGGGGACAGGGGACAATATATGGGGATAGGGGACAGACAAGGGGACATGAAGAGGGGACAGGTATATGGGGACAGGGAACAGACCTGGGGACAGGGGACAGATATATGGGAACATGAGGAGGGGATGGGTATATGGGGACAGGGAACGGACATGGGGACAGGGGACAGGGACAAGGGACAGGCATGGGGACAGGGGATGGACATGGGGACATGAAGAGGGGATGGGTATATGGGGACAGGGAACAGATGTGGGGACAGGGGATGGACATGGGGACAGGAAGAGGGGACGGGTATATGGGGACAGAGGACAGACATGGGGACAAGGGACTGAGAATAGGGGGTGAGGATAGGGGAAAGGGGACAGGTATATAGGGACAGGGAACAGACATGGGGACAGGGGACAGGCAGGGGGACAGGAGACAGATGTGGGGACAGGGGACGGACATGGGGAAATAAAAAGGGGACAAGGGACAGACTAGGGGACAGGGGACAGGCAGGGGGACAGGGAACCAGGAATAGGGGGTGAGGATAGGGGATAGGAGACAGGTATATGGGGACAGGGAACAGACATGGGGACAGGGGACGGATGTGGGGACAGCGGACAGGGGACACACACAGGGACAGGGAATGGACATGGGGACAAGGGACAGGCAGGGGGACAGGGGACAGACTTAGGGACAGGGGACAGACATGCGGACAGGAAGAGGGGTCCAGTATATGGGGACAGGAGACAGACATGGGGACAGCGAATGGACATGGGGACAGGGGACAGATATGGGGACAGGGGACAGGCACAGGGACAGGGGACAGATGTATGGGGACAGGGAACAGAGATGGGGACAGGGGACAGACGTGGGGACAGGGGACAGGCAGGAGGACAGGGGACAGACATGGGGACATGAAGAGGGAACAGGTTTATGGGGACAGGGGACAGGCAGGGGGACAGGGGACAGACATGGGGACAATGGACAGATATGGGGACAGGGGACAGGCAGGGGGACACGAAGAGGGGACAGGTATATGGGGGCAGGGGACAGACGTGGGGGTGGGGAGAGGGGAGAGGGACAGGTACATGGGGACAGGGGACGGACACGGAGATAGGGGATGGACATGGGGACAGGGGACAGGCATGGGGGCAGGGGACCAGGAATAGGGGCTGGGAATAGGGCAGAGGGGACAGGTATATGGGGATAGGGGATGGACATGGGGACAGGCACAGGGAGTAGGGCCTGAGAATAGGGGATAGGACAAGGGACAGGTGTTTGTGGGTAGGGGACAGGCACGGGGACAGGGGACAAGGGGCCAGAGAAGGGGGACAGACATGGGGACGGGGGATCAAGGGCAGCGAACAGGGCCTGGGAATAGGATATAGGGCTGTAGGGCTCAGGTGACAGTTATATATGGATGGGGACAGGGAAAGGGGACCTAGAATAGGATCTAGGGGCCAGGCACGGGGACAGGGAATAGGGCCTGGCATGGGGCCAGGCAGGGGGACAGGGGATCGAGGACAGGGAATAGGGCCCAGGAATAGCTTGGGTCCTGTGCTGGGGCCTAGGGACAGGGATATAGGGACAGGACCAAGGACTTGGGGGGAGAAAGTCCCAAAACAGGGGACAGGGCTTAGGAGATAGGGGGCAGGAGTGGGGAAAAGGGTCTGGGGATGGGGGATAAGGCACGGGGACGAGGAATGGGGCATGGGGGTGGCCTGTAGGGCCCAGGGCTATGGGGTACAGCACCTATAGGGTGGGGAACACGGGGAAAATTCCTATTCTAAGCATGTTCCTTGGGGTTTTATTGGATAAAGCCAGCCCTACAGACAGCTCCGTGCTCGCCGTCCCCATCCCTGAGGGGATCCTGCCCCAGTTTGCTCCCCCAAACCTACTGGGAGCGCTGGTGACAAACGGGACACGGGGGTGGCCCCGCAAGGTCAGGCCTCGGGAATAAAGCCTCGGGGACGAAGGCTGCACACAGCCTGCCGAGATCAATCACACCGCGGCTTCGGGAGTGATAAAACCTCCCCTAAAACCTCCCCACCTTCCTTTTTTTTTCCTTACAGACGTGGAAAATAACGCGGGGCCCACGAGGCGACCGTTCCCACCCAGCAACCCGTCCCCAAAGCCCCCGGCGCAGGTTATCAACGGGATTAAGGTTATGAGAGCCTTGGTAGGTGCGGTTTGATTTTATGGAGCTAATAAACCCCGTTTTTATCAAAAAGGCACCGGGGCTCTGCTCTGCTCTGCTGAAGCCGCCCCTCGAGTGCTGGGTTCAGCTTTGGGGCCCTCACCCCAGAAGGACATCGAGGCCCTGGAGCGGGGCCAGAGAAGGGCTCCGAAGCTGGGGAAGGGCCTGGGACCCAAATTAGGCTTTTTTTTAGGTAGGCTGAGATGAGATCTGATCGTGCCGTCTTTTGGGAACGTTACAACCAAGTCTGAGCCCTTGATTTGATGAATACTAAGAGGAAGTTAGGAAAATATAGGATTTTTTGGATGTGTTTCACTGGGAAATGAACAATTTCCCTACAGAAATCTCCAGCAGCAGATGCAGGCAGGGCCCTCCTGCCTCCAGCTGACCGGCCTCACTAAGGTTTCCTGACCAGGACTGAAAAACTTCCCCCAGTTTTGGGAGTTTTGGGGTTCGGGCTGCTGAAATGCAGCCACTCTGCAGCCCCCTCCTTAGGAAGCTCCCCCGGGGCCAAAGCTGGGGGCACACTCCCCTTTCAACATAATAGGGGAAGATTTGAGTCGATTTTTACAGCTTTTGGGCCTTGAGGTGGTGCTCTGTGGGGCTGAGGCATCCCACCTCATGCTCCTGTGCTATGAGGAGTGAGGGAAGGCTCACGGCCCTACAAGAGCCCCCAAACCCCTTCCCTCTTGGGGCTTCCCAAAAAGTAGCATCCCCCAAATCCCTTTCCCACAGGACACGAGGTTATTGCCACCAGGAACAGCTTCAGGAAGGCGCAGAGGAGGGAAATCCACAGCAGGGAAGCGCCAAACTCCCACATGGCCTGGTGTGAGCCCGCCATTTTGGGATGCCTCAGCACCAGCGACCCCAAAGCGAATGCTTTGAGAAAATCTTTGAGTAAAAGTCCTGTGAGGAGCGGCTGAGGGACCTGGGGGGGGTTGGGGTGGGGAAGAGGAGGCTCAGGGCAGAGCTTATTGCTCTCTGCAACTGCCTGAAAGGAAGGGGTGGGGAGCTGGGGGGCGGCCTCTGCTCACAGGGAACCAGGGCCAGGAGCAGAGGGAACGGCCTCGAGTTGTGCCAGGGGAGGCTCAGGTTGGCAATGAGGAGCCATTTCTGCTCAGCAAGAGCGCTCAGGCCTTGGGACGGGTTGCCCAGGGAGGTGGGGGAGTCCCCGTCCCTGGGGGTGTTCAAGGAGAGGTTGGACGTGGTGCCTGGGGACAGGGCTTGGGGGTGACATTGGTGGTTGGAGCAGGTGATCCTGGAGGGCTCGTCCAATCTAGACGATTCTGTGAGCGCCACAACAGCTTGTAAAAAAAGGACAGCCTGGGAAACAGCACCATAAAACCCACCGGGGCGTTGTGTCAGCACCCCGTGGGCACGTTTCACATTTCTACCAGCTCCTTTGGGTCAGGATCACCGCTCGGGGCCCTGCCGCCGCTGCCGGCGCCCGCCCTTGGCAGGGGAGGCTGGCGCTCAGCACCAACATTGTGTGCGGCTCCAGCTATTTCCTTTTCTTGTGATTGAGTCCTCCAGCTCCCGCTGGGACATCAAAGCCCGACGCTCTTCCTTTTTGGCACGCAGCGGCGCTGCCTGCGTAAGAGAAGTGTGTGCCACCGGCCCTGCGAGCCTCGGAAACGGGACGAGAGAAAGGAGCGTGGGGAATTCCCTGCCAGCATCCTGCCTCGCGAGGAGGATGAGACGAGAGAAGTTTGCCTGGAAAGGAGCCACGGATGGCTCGGGTTTTATCCTCCATTTATCCCCATTCAGGGCTTTTTGGTCACAACACTGCTCTGTGTTACCTTTTCCCCGGGACACCTTGCACCGCAGCCGAGCTTCTTGAATCCTCCCCAGCTCCTTGGATCGCAGGAGCAGGCAGGGCCCGTCTTGCTGGCACAGGGCTGAAGGACATTGCCCCTCGGGGAGCTCTGGAGCTAAGGCAAACCCGGGTTTAATGGCAGGAAGAGGAGGGGAGGACAAAGGTGGGGGCTGTGAGACAGGTGCCTGGCAAGAGGGGGGCCGCAGCGAGCCACGGGCGGATGCAAAGGGCAGCGTCTTGGCTCCGGGAGAGCCCGTGACAAAATTCCTGTTGACTTTGGCAAGGCCAGGATGTCACAGAGAGGTGACGGAGCTGTCCCGGTGTCATGGGCAGAGCCAGGAGCAGATTGCCCTGCCTGGGGTGCCCCTCACACCGCCGGCTATGGAGATATGGAGACTCCTCCCCATGCAGATCCCCCCCTTTTTTTTATTATTTCAGGCAGGTTGTACCAAACTGGCTCCTCTTACTGATATTTGTGCCAAGGGGCACACCAGCACCGGTGCTAACTGTTCGCATTAAATAACGATACGAATTTTCTGAAGCGTGCAGGAGTTTGTCGTGAGGGCTGGAGCCCGGCTCTGCTCGGGGCTGCACGAGCTGAGAAGAAAAATCCCACCTGGAGGAAAATCAGAACACCCTGAGCTGTGCTTCTGGACCCATCACCGTGTGCCTCTGTTCACCCATCGGGCTGGAAGGAGCCCAGAGGTCACCTCCTTGCCCCAAGGACCCTGGCATCACACGAGTGCTGCAAGCACAGCCCACCAGCCCTGCAGTTATCTGAAGGACGAACATTTTCCCTCTGGCTCATTCCCTAATAAACCTCTCACTCGAGCTGACGTCCCCGGCTCATTCAGCCAGGATCTCAGGGGACGTGACCCATGGCCAGAACCGCTCCTGCCCCCCTTATTTATTCAATGACTCAAAGAAACGCTCCCGAGGCTGTGACAAAGGGGAAGAAAAACAAGGAAATGCACATGTGAGGCTGTGCTGCGGGCTGCACGCACCAGGGGTGCATTTAGGAAGTAGTTAAGGAAGCTCCTTGCTGCGCCTGGGGATTGGGGTCGGAGCCGGTGCCAGGCCCCGTTTCTGTCTGCCTTCCCCCAGCAGCAGGCATCCTTTGACCCATTTTGGGGTCTGCATTGCTCCTCCAGGCTCTCCTGCTGATGTTTGTGCCCACGAAGGAAAGGTGCAGCTCAGATGAACCCCCTGGACCTCCTCGATGCTGGTGGAGATGTCCCCATGTCCGCTTTGTCCCCAGCTGCTTCCCAACTCCCCTCTTGGCACAGCTCCACATGCAGCCAGTCCTGAAACCATCCCAGCCAGGCTGAGCACTCCCCAAAGCACCTTTTTTTTATGAGAAATCCTCTAAAAGAGCTGAGTTAGGGAGCAGGCTGGCGTGCTGGCAGGTCCCTGGAGGCAGCAGCCCCAGATGGGGTGCTGGGGACACCCCTCGGGGGCTGCAGTGCCACCTGCGAGGGACATGGTCGTAGACCTGCTGATTTGAAGTCACCACTAAATTTCACCTGCCACATTAAATAGCTTGTGTCTCAGCTACCTGACCCTAATACCACGGTACGAGCTGCGTGTAAAGGACCAAAACTCTCCGTGCGTTTTCACGGGGGCTCCAGAGGTGCTCAGAGGGGCTGCCATGGGAGGCAGAGCTCCTTGTGTGCCCTTTAGGAACCTTGAGTGCCCTTTAGGATCCTTGTGTGCCCTTTAGGATCCTCGTGTGCCCTTTAGGGACTCTTTTCAAGCACCTACAAAGCCTGTTTCCTTGACTCATTTCTTTTCACTGCTTTTCATACTGACTCATTGCTTTGCATACCGAGGGGAGCTGGCACCCAGGCGTCCGGATTTAGCAGGACAGAGGAAGAAAAAGGTGGGGTGAGCGCACGTGGCACTGCCTATTGACAGACCTGCAAGTTGCTGGGAGATCAGGATCTGTTTTAGCAGTGGGAAAGGAGAGGCAGAGAGGAATCGTGCAACAACCCAGGGCCGGGAAGATGGCACGGACCTGAAGCCAGCAGCTCGGTGTCGTGGTCCTGGCGCGCAGAGGTCTCCACGCCCAACTCTCTGCTCCCTTTCCTCTCTATCTGACATGAATTTCAGGGAACTGTTGACTAGATACCACTCTCTTTGTGCTTGATGGAAAGAAAAAATACGTGAAAAGTGACAGTCGGGATGGTAAAAATGGCTTTTCCTTCTGTTTTTCCCCGCTGCTGCCAAAAACCTGCCAGTTCGGAATGTTTTTCACAGGCTCATCTCCCTGGAGAAGCGAGCTATTTCTGATGGAAGCAGCTGGTTCTTCTAAAAGGTCTTATTGCAGACACCGGAATGGAAAAAACAAATAAAACACCATCTATTCCCACCCTTTGGGGTCAGATCTTGTGTTTTTGCCTCCTGTGACAAGGGGCAGACGAACCTACAAGTCTCTGGACAGGAGCTGCGAGCTGCAGCGGCCAGAGGGGAACTTTTTTTTCAGCAGACATCGCACAGACCCGCTCCATTTCCACTGGCACAACTAAATATACAGCGGCTGCTGTTCTAGTTATGTTTAAATCAATAAATATTCTTTTAGAATATCAAAGTGGCTGCGTTCGGCTCCCTCCAGGTGCAGGTTTTGGTTTATGGTGCCCACGCAGTTCGTGTCTGAGTGTCGCTGGAAGGAGAGGGGGGCTCACATCGGGGTGATAAAACACTCTTTGGTCCCCAAACCAGGGCTCGGAGATCAGAAAACTGCACATAGGGAGGAGAATAAGCCAGGAGGGGGTGGGAGCTGTGGGAATTTGGGACCCGGTGTGGGCAGGAGGCGAATAAAGGGAGATCTGGTAAAAGCCATTTGGCTTTGTGGGCCTCCTTTAATCGTGTATGGGGTGGGGACGATTGTGCTTGACTTTGTTTGTTAAAGGCTTTGAGATTCTGCATGGAAAGGGCTTTAACATGGCGACAATGTTTAGTATCTTCGAGGCCTTTTTAAATTCAACAGCACCGACCTTCGGGCATCTTTCTTCTCCATCTTCCGTATCGGGGACCTGCTGCTTCTCTCCTGCACAGGCTACAAAGCAGGAGCCACAGAGGTTTGTGGGGTAAAGATTAGGTTGGAGGGGATCTCTGGAGGCCTCAGGTCTGACCTTGTGCCCAAAACAGGGTCTGGCCTGAGGCTGGGCCGGGTTGCTTAGGGCTTTATCCCATCAGATCCTGAAAACCTGCAGGAACGGAGACACACAGCAGGAAAAAGCTTCTCCTCGTGTCAGTCTGAACCTCTCTGGATTCAGCTTAGACCCATGCAGTTACCTTGGGGTATAAAGCAGGCATGAACGAGAGCAGAACCAGACCCTGTTCCCCATTTTTGTAGAAATAAAAGAAATCCTCAGCTAGAAGGCCTTCAGCGAGCTCATTCGAACCCTAAGAGCAGTCGGAACCAAAAGGAGGAAGAGGATGCGAGCAGCTTTGGCAGCAGCAGCCCAAGAGACGCGGTGCCAGCGGAGCAAGGCGATTGTTGTGGCCGCTGGAGAGGCACCCGGCACACTCTGGGGCCACGTGCGTCACGTGAGCTTATTTTAACACATCGAACGCGTGCAATTTCCTTCCCTGAGCTTTGCCAGGTGAAAAATTGACGCAGTCGAACGAGGAGCCGCATCCGCTCGGAGCTCACTTGGAGCGGGTGACTTCGCCGCGGAGCGAGGTGCTCCCGGTTCAACGAGGCTGGCAGCATCCTATTCCCGACGGGGAATCTTTGGGGTTTGCACCTGGTGGAGCTCAGCAAGGCTCTCCCTGAGCCCTGGACATCAAAACCCTTTTTTTTGGGTTGGTATTGGGTTAGTCTCTGGCCCTCTTTGCTCCCCAAACCACCGCAGTGGGTTTCGGCGGTGCCGGCGCAGCGTGCCATGGGGACGAAGGGCGGCGACCCCACTCCGGCCCCACTTTGTAGGGGCTGCTGTGGGGCTGAAGCTTGGGACCACCGCTCCCCCAGCTCCTGTGGGCGGTGGGAAGCGGGGGCAGAGCGGGGCATTGCTCGCAGCAGAAGCTCTGCCCTGCGCTTCTTACCCTTGCTCGCCCCAGCACCAGCAGCAGGATTTAAAAGAAGCCTTGGGGCTTCTCGACAGGAGCGGTGCCGAGCTGGCACCTGCTGACCGAGCAGGGGAATTGCACAAAAAATGAAGGTTTTGGAGACGTGGGGCTCGTCCCCCTGGGTAGAGAGACATTCATTCCCCTGGCTGCAACCGTGGTGGCACCTTGGCGAGCTCTGCCGCAGTGGCTTCTCCAAAACCGCTATTTTTATTTATTTTTTTCCTACCACTAACCAAATCCTTCTGGGATTTTTTTCCCCCAAATCAACCAAACTTCTTCTTTTTTTTTATTTTTTTATTTTTTCGTAAAGATGCCAGCCCTCCTCCAAGGACCCCATCTTCTCCCTACACGCAGAGCTCAGACCTCGCAGCGGCTTAAACTTCGTGTTGCATTCTTTGGGGTACCAAGGGGGGAAAAGGGAAGGAGTTTTCCCATCCTGGGACACCCAAGGTAGCATAGCTGAGCTGATACATAATTTTTTTCCCCTTATCTCCCTCCCTGCTCGGTCTCAGCACGCTGCAGCTGTGCACCGTGCTGTTTTTGGGGAGATGCTTTCCTGCCCTTTCTCATCTCTGTTTTATCCGTAGTGGTTCTTCGGAGAATTGTCATTATTTCCTAGCTGCAACTCTTGTTTATCTTCTTTAATAGCCTGTCTGCTGGGGAAACCGATCTGCAGAGCTGCTAGAAAACAAGCTGTTCTGCCCCAGCTCCTTCTGTGCCCATCCTGCTATTGAATAAATGTCAAATAATCCATGCTGAGGCACACTAATTACCTTGAAATAAAAGACATCGACAACAGGAATCCAGAGGGGAAGCATTCCATCAATCTCCCCATGCAAACAGCCCCGAGAACATACTCGGAGCGAGATGTGCACATCAGTCAAGAACCTGAAGTGAGCGATGCCAGCTACCACCGTGGCTCAAGCTGGGAAATTCTCCTGATGCTTTTGAAGCCATTCATGTAAATCATCTTTTTTTTTTAAAGATGTGACAACTTGTACTTGGGGGATGGAAAGATTATATTCTTTTTGCCAACACATTCCCAGATGGCTACACGTGTTGTTTTTTTTTTTCAACGACAGTGCTTAAATCTTACATTTTTATTTTTCGAGAAAGAACTTTTCATGCAAAAGTATGAGAAATCCTGGCACAAACGTCTTTACAAGGTACAAAAGTGAAAGAAATCTATCTGTTCGTGCCATTAACCATACAATATTCCCCCCCCTGATGCTGCGTGATGCTGCGATGTGCCATAAAACAGGGGATGCAATCCTGCTTAGGTATTCCTCATCCCCCTGAGCCTTATTTCAGGAGTTTTTCAGGTGCCTCTCCCTTGTTGGCATTGTTGCTGCCTCGCATTTTGAGCATCTCAAGCTTTTTGGTTGTAAATGTGCAGGGTGTTTGATCCTCTTGCACTATGTGTGCTGCGTGTTGCATCTTGCAAAAAGCTTTATTATTATTTATTTCTTTTTATCCTTTTTTTCTTAATTTGCATTGCAAATCCGGCAGCACCCAGTAATGTCATTCTGGCAGAGTGTTCCTACCTTTATGGGCTTCCTTCTTTCAGTGGACCTACACCCTCTTTTAGGGTTCAGCAGCCTCAGACACAGAAAATATTGTCAAGCCACACAGACAAATGCATCTGTCTCAATGCAGCAATCTCCTACGAGAGCAATTTTCATCCCAGTTTATGGACTATGCCTGTACCGATCCCGTCCCTTGCAACCCTACAAACAAAATCATTCCAACTGCTTTTCTGGCAGTGTTTGACCCCAAGTCTTCCAGTTGTGCTTATGCATTTTGTCTGGTTAAGGAAGGAGGCTAAAATCCGACTCACCCACCCCACGGGACTCCTACCAAAAAGACCCCATTAATTCCACCCTGCTATTTTTAAGGCAGCTTGGTATAAGAAAAGAGGAGGATCAAACTCTGTATTTCCTTCTGCATGTCTTACAGGTTTATTTTATTGCTCAAATCCTCTGCTTTTCTTCCAGATGGGATGCATTTCCACCCGATCTTCAGGAGCCTCTGATAGAATTAACCTGACAAGCTCCAAAAGGAAAAGGGTGTCTGCACCTAGACGAATTTTGGACAGATTCAGTTAACCGTGCATGGACACCCTCCTCTGTGTCTCTAAGATCTCCGTGTCCCTGTTCTCCCTCCAGCATTGCTCGGTCGTTCGAGTTTCCCCTCATACGATATTAATTAAAACTCCAACAGAACTCCTTTCACTCCAACTCCTCCTCAGCCAGATGCTTGCCAGCTACTATATATAATAAATTTCCAGAGGCTCTGCCCATTCTTTTTTGCCTGTTTGGAAAGCATTTTGTGAAACAACCATTATTACGAGCCTTTGGGCTTGGTTTCTGCCGGTGCTGGTGGTTTTGGCTGGGGGAAGCTCGAAGTACAAGACATTTTGTTACACGCAAGCAGCGTTTGAAAGAATCTTTTATAGAGCTTGGAGAACGAAGGTTTGAGAGTCAGGATACTCGGGCTTTACACCTGGGAGTATTGAAAGATTCTTGGACAGATCACATAACCTCTCTGTGTCTCAGCATCGTCGTCTTTGAAATGGGGCTAAACCTCATCTGCTTCTTGGAAGAGGAACTCGCGTTTAACTTACATTTGTCAGAGCCTCGTATGAGAGCACTGCAAATTCCATACAAAAGAGCATTATCGGGTCTTTTAAGGGAATGCTCCCGAAGTATTTTCAGATCCTGCACTAGGATTGATGCATCTTGCCTTCGGCAACCACAAATTTAGATGTCTAAACCTGACACGGTTCCACTAGATTGATTTTCGGGGCATTGAAGAAAAACAGACTCCTCTCGGGGTCAATACCAAAATAGGTGTCCTAGGAAGGTTCACGGCAATGCCCCCTGGAAGCGCTTCAAACATCTCCAGTTATGCAACAGGAACCCCAGGCACATCCCCTTCAACATCTATCCGTTTGCTGCATTACAATGAGAATATTTCTCTTGCTCCCATTTTTCCTTTTCTTTAAATTATTTTAAGTGGTTCATCTGTGCAGGACCATTTACAAGTGTTACTCTCCAGGACAAGGAGACAGGGTAAGTTCGAGTCTTCAGCCCTTTGGCCCCAATTTCATGGGCCAGTCTGCAGGAATTGATGCCATTGTAGAGCAACCAGCTCTAATGTGATGTGTGAATTAATGTGTGAACAGTCGCCGTGCACCAGAAGGATCCCTGCAGCTCCCCTGCCAGCCAGTCCTTATGCTGTTTCCAAGATCAGTGCAGCATCCAGTAGATTTATGATGAAAAAAGAAAAAGAAGAAGAAGAAAAGAAGAAGAAGAAAAGAAGAAGAAGAAGGAAAAGAAAAAGAAAAAGAAAAGAAAAAGAAAAAGAAAAAGAAAAAGAAAAAGAAAAAGAAAAAGAAAAAGAAAAAGAAAAAGAAAAAGAAAAAGAAAAAGAAAAAAAAAGAAAAAGAAAAAAAAAAAAGAAGAAGAAACAGTTATCAAAGTTGCAAGACGTTTTAAAAATTATCTTGTACCTTTA